GAGTAGCACTTCAGAATAAAAGTTGCGCGACGCTTTGGGCATTGGGCGGAGCCGTGGTGTCGCGAGCGGGAAGCACCGTTTTTTAGTCATTTCCGAGCTGCGAAAGTAGTACAGCCTGCATGCAGATATTACCACCGTGTCCAAGGAAGCGCCTGAACATCGAATAAACGCGGAACGTGTGGCGCCGGAGTGTCACCACTAATGCACTGCATCGATTCCATCATTTGAACGACTCCCTCTTTGGGACCGGGCATTTAGCGCTCTCATATGATCGAATCCGTCTAAGAAAAACCCAATAATGGCAGTGTCGAAGCGGTGCGGTGATAAAGTTGTTCAAGCCGTTTCGTTATGTTGGCGATCTCGCGGTTGTGCCTACAGAGCCGTGTAGATACTTGCCGAACGTACTTCCGTACATAAGCCTATCATATGTGCTTCGTGTTTGTAAAAAGAAGTACAAAGAAAGGAGAAAAAGATGTTTTCTACCTAATTCAAATCATGTGTAAACTTTGAGACACCCTGTAGAAATACCAAAACCACAGTATCTGCGTCCAAATATCAGTCCCTTTGTGCGATTGCTGTATAGTTGATATCGTTGCAATCGGTTGAGGCAGTTCCAAAAGGGATGGACTGAGCCCATCCGAAGCGTTTTCATCACTGTTGTTTTCTTCGAGAATCGATCACTAACCAGTCAACAATGCTGGAACAAGACAGCCGGAGGCAGGCTCACTCCGCCCCCTTGACACCGCCCCGGCTGTTTCCAACGTTTTCAACTATATTTCATTAGGGCTTTCTGTGCTCTGCTCTGCATGCTCGTCTTATTCTGTCTCATTGTGTGCACTGGTTCCTAGTTTTAGCTCACTGCAAGCATTCCATTCTTTTTGAAATGTAATCCATATTGCATTTGGTTTTCAAGTCCGCAATCATCCAAGTCGACATACGATCGGCGATATATACGCGGGTAACGTGCCGTGTGTTAGAGTTTGTTAGCACTGCTTCGTTGCTAACTACATAGATATTTTTGCATTGTTGGTCTTTTTGTAGTTTCCCGTTTTCGCTCCATATATTGTCTTAGTTACTGTCATCTAACCTGCATTGATTTGTGAGCTGTTTTTTTTTCAAGCTCGCACCTCTGTGCACGTAATTTGGAGTCTGTCTATCTCAGGGTCATGCGCAGGGTGGGAAATTATCGAAAGGGTCACTAACTACGATATTATAGCGGAGACAGCAAAAGTCTGGGTGTTGTGTAGGAGAACGAAGTTTGGCAGTATGTTGAAGACACGTCTTGCATTCTCTTGATATGCAGACTGTTTGCTTGTGCAAGGAAGTTTATCCGCAAAGAAAAAGATGCACCACTTTCGCGGTTCAGAAGTATGTGATAAGGACGCTAGGTGCTTGTGATGAAGGGGATGCTCCGCCCACTACAGCATACTACGCCCACCAGTTCGTTTACAGTGGCCCTATGGGGGTACGGTGGCTACAAAACCATCAGCTTTTTTCTTCTATAGAAGTGGTGAGTGATATGGGACATAACCTGGTACCCGATAGGATACCACCAAGTAAGATCGTCCAAATCTGTCCGCCTGGGGTCCTACCTCAGCCTTTTTAGAGGTTTTTTTCCCGTTTTTTCTTCACTGGTGGCTCCCACCTTTTCATTTACAGTTGATCCCATTACCTTGCCGTTCATGATCGCAAAACTTGCCTTCAAGTCAGCTGGCTAAAAAATGTTTGGCACTATTTACCCTTTACTGCCCCAATCTTCCGAAAACAGGCCAGTTGGACCGACTTTTTTCTGCGTTGGCAGAATTGGCTGAAAATTTGTTCCTGGGGTAGTTTGACCTCCTGAACACGAATATTACATCCGCTCAGCCTGAAACCTCCTGCAGCCCGCGCTACAGGCGCTGGCGCCAAAACACCTCAGATCACCGGCGCCTGTGGCGCGGCGCCAGGAAGTTTCGGGCTAACCGGATATTCGTATTCAGGAGGTCAAACTACCCCAGGAACAAATTTTCAGCCAATTCTGCCAACGCAGAAAAAAGTCGGTCAAACTGGCCTGTTTTCGGAAGATTGGGGCAGTAAAGGGTAAATAGTGCCAAACACTTTAGCCAGCTGACTTGAAGGCAAGTTTTGCGATCATGAACGGCAAGGTAATGGGATCAACTGTAAATGAA